CACTAAATGACAACAAAGAACTTTAGAAAGTATAAATTCACAAGAATAATGAGAACAGAAGACATCAACTAACCAAAAACAAAACAAAAAAAGGCCAGGCGTGGTGGCTCAAGCCTGTTATCCCAGCACTTTGGGAGGCCGAGGCGGGTGGATCATGAGGTCAAGATATCCAGACCATCCTGGTCAACATGGTAAAACCCCATCTCTACTAAAGATACAAAAAATTAGCTGGGCATGGTGGCACATGCCTGTAATCCCAGCTACTCAGGAGGCTGAGGCAGGAGAATTGCCTGAACCCAGGAGGCAGAGGTTGCGGTGAGCCCAGATTGCGCCATTGAACTCCAGCCTGGGTAACAAGAGCGAAACTCCGTCTCAAAAAAAAAAACAAACGAAAAAAAACCAACAACAACATTTTAGAAGCTAGAAAGAGTATGGATATGTTGTAACTGACTCAGCAAACCAAAGAAAGCTAAAATGTAAGCCTACAGAAGGGGTGTATGGCAGGGGAGAGTGGCAATGAGAAGCAAGCCACAGACAGAACACTTCTCAGAAGGACTAAGTAACTGAAGGTACCAGCTACCAGGTAACCAGACGGAAGTGTATGGTGGGGCAAAAAGCAGAAGGATTGGTTGAAAATTTATGTAATGAACAGGTAGTCCACCAGATCCCCTCTATTCTTTTCCAAGCAACCTCCCTATTCCATCACTGCACAAGACAATACTAGAGAAGACAGCCTCTGGAGAGGCTAGAGAAGCTAAGGATTCTAGACATCAAGCACAGCTAAAGCAGGGATCCGTTACTATACCACAACTAGGAAGATTAAGACTGGACAATAAATCTCTGAATGGTCGTGAACCTGCTCGCCTTCTCACCTGCTTTCCTTTCCCTGGCTTACAAGGCTGGTCACAAAATTGATAATAAATCCACCCCTCCAATCTCTCCACCCCAATCCCTACCACAACTATCACCTCTGAAAAAATAAACACACCCCAACAGGTAGGAGATGGAGGATTGCTTTCTTAAAACTGAGCAGCTAACAAGACCTAGAGTTACTGATATCTAGTGGTTCTCCCATTAAAATAGATTCTCACCTATTACCCCTCCAGATAGCATAGCCCCTACTCTAACCTGTTACCCACATACACACACACAAACACATTTACACACATACCTTCCAATAAGTACTCTTAAATATCAACAGCCAGTCAAGAAAAGCATATAGTATTATATGCTGAAACAGAAGAAAGAGAGAGAGAAGAAAGAAAGGAAAAAGGGACTTGGGAAAAACAGGACAAAGGAGAAGAAAACTCAAAAAAAAAAAAAAAGAAAAAGAAAGATGTTATGATACTGCATCCACGAAATGAAAACAGAATTCTCTTTAAAAACAGAGGCCAGGCATGGTTGTTTATGTCTGTAATCCTAGCACTTTGAGAGGCCAATGCAGGAGAATCACTTGAGGTGATTTGAGAGGCTTTGAGACGAGATGGGCCTGGGCAGCATAGTGAAACCCCGTCTCTACAAAAATATTTTAAAATTAGCTGGACATGGTAGAACACATCTGAAGTCTTAGCTATTCAGGAAGATGAAACCGGATGATCGCTTTAGCTCAGGAGTGTAACATTACTGTAAGCTGTGATTGCCCCACTACACTCCAGCCTGGACAACAGAGTGAGACTATGTCTCCATTTAAAAGAAAGAGAGAGACACACACAACAAATGCACTGAGATTAAAAAATAACCTAAAAAAGGTATGATTCTGGTTATTCCATCCAGCCAGTATGTGGATGTGATGGCTGGTGCTGGAGTAGCCATCTTACACACAACGTAGAACCAAGTTGAGGATGGGAGAGCAAGATGAAAAGAGCATGGGTCTTTGATGATTGCTGAGCGGCCACTGTACCCCTTGACTACCTCTGTTGCTATGAGATTAAAAACAAAAGCAAAACAAAAACAAAAAACCTCTGTCTTATTTAATATATGATTTTTGGGTTTTCTGCCTCTTGTACCTTATCCATATAACTAATATAGTATGTGCTACACAGTAAATTTTTCCCCAAATCCCTACAATAAAAAACAAAGAAAATTATGTTCCAGGCTTACTATCTTGTCATTCCTTTTAACAATGCTTTAGTCTATCTTACATTAGCCAAGAAAGCTGAATACTAACACTTCAAATTTCAGGATTACATTCTAATCAAGTTTATCATGTATAATAAAATGAAGGACCTATGGAATACGGCTCCAGGTGTCCACAGCACACTACTCTCATTGTTTTCAGATGTTGCAGAATCACTCCACTAAGGCTTACCTTCAATTTCCCTTCAGTCTGACTTTCTTCTTTCAAATTCATATTGGATGACTGATGTCCAGCATAATAAATATTTTATCTTTCTACACCTTTTCCACAAGAATAATATGCCTTTCTGAAAGTGAGGCACTGTCAGACACCTGGAGTCCAAACTTAGTTCTTAACTCTTTTGTCCAGAGTGAGCCCTGCAGCTTTTAAATGTTTTTACATTGCCGAAACGTATCTATTAAAATAAGCTATTCAATTCTGTATAGATAAAAAGTCATTTTCATAATTAAATTAGACATCCTAGAGACAGTGGCATGATCAAGGACATGGAATAAAACATAGGTTAGTATAAATTTAACTGTTTGGCTTCAGATGATATCACCTAAATTATAATTACTCTGATACTGTCTAAAAATTCCACAGTAAGTAACAATTTCATAAAATGTTAAAGAAAAAATGCCTGGCAGCGGTAGATGGATATAATTCTGGAATAATTTTCTTATGACATATGGTACAACTAATCAAATCAGTAATATAACCATTCTATCCCCACCCACCTGGATTTTCCATTGATGACTGATTGGGTGATACATGTAGCAAGGATCTGTGGGTACTGACAGTGGGCACTTTTTTATAGAATAAACGTAAGAAAAGGAAAATCTAAGACAGATATGCCAAACCTCAAAGGAAAAGGAGGACAATAAAGGTAAGAAATGGCCTTAATTTGCTTCTCATGTTAAAAAGAAACCAGTTATTAAACAACTCTTTATCCATCCTTAGAAGTCACAGTAAGTAACGAAGAAAGAAATCCAGGGAGGACAAAATCCTAATCCTGAATTATAGAAAGACTTACATATTTGCATTAAAATTTTCATTTTAATATTCTCAGAACTGATTTTCTCCACTTTTAAAAGGACTTGAATTCTAGGAAAACAGATGGTATCTATGGAAGAAAAAGGTACACTCTTCTGACTTTTATAAGCTACTGAGTTGAGTAATGAATGTTTATATTGAAAGGCTTAATGACCATATTCACCGCTCCCAACCTTCAAAGGAAAAAATAAATAAATGAAGTTCTGCAGCTTAAGACTTATTCTGGGAAAGGTCTTTTTCAAGCAAAAACACTGACCTGTCCCGTAACAAATAAGACAGTGTAATTTGCCAATTAATGCTCAGTACTCAGTAAACTTGCTATTTCAAAAAATGCCACAACCACTTTACTGACCAGGGCAGGTTCTATGCAACCTCCACTATAGTCTCTGAGATAAATTCATCTTCCCTCTACCTATTTCCTCAACTGACCTAAGCAGTATTTCTCAATTGTGAGCTTTCCTCAAAGGGAAGCACTGAAGTAAGGGAATTCCCTCATATCTCCCAGTGATTTACTTCTTTAATATATGTACACCTAAAGAGCATACGAGTTACTGAAAGACACATACTCAAAGTTCAAAAACTTGCCATGGGGTGAAAGAAATTAAGGCAGGTACATCAGTCAAAGTTCTCTGCCTTTACATTATAGTGCATTGTCAATCAGTTTGTATCTTCATTACTAACTGCCTAAAACCTCAATACGTGCAATTAAAAAGATGTAGACTCGGCCAGGCACAATGGCTCACACCTGTAATCCCAACACTTTGGGAGGCCAAAACAGGAGGACAGCCTGAGGCCAGGAGTTCAAGACCAGCCTGGGCAACAAAGCAAGAACCTGTCTCTCCAAAATATAAAAATAAGTTAGCCAGGCATGATGGTGTTTGGATAGCCTGAGCCCAGAAGTTTGAGGCTGCAGTGGGTGATGATCATGCCACTGCACTCCAGCCTGGGCAACAGAGCAATACCTTGTCTCTTAAACAAACAAACAAAAAAGTATAGACTCTATTCCTATATCCCTTCCTAGAACAAAGGAATATATATAAGGTATATATGTAGAACAGAAAAAACAGCTAAAAAATGAATAATGTTGCTAAATCAGTACGAGCTAGGTGTCTCAGCAAAATTTCTTATCTAGGCCGGGTGCTGTGGCTCAAGCCTGTAATCCCAGCACTTTGGGAGGCTGAGGCGGATGGTTTACAAGGTCAAGAGATTGAGATCATCCTGGCCAACATGGTAAAACCCCGTCTCTACTAAAAATACAAAAGAATTAGCTGGGTGTGGTGGCGCTGCCTGTAGTCCCAGCTACTTGGGAGGCTGAGGCAGGAGAATTGCTTAAACCCAGGAGGCGGAGGTTGCAGTGAGCCAAGGTCTGGCCACTGCACTCCAGCCTGGTGCTTGGTGACTAGTGAGACTCTGTCTCAAAAAAAAAAAAAAACTGGGCCAGGCGCGGTGGCTCACACCTGTAATCCCAGCACTTTGGAAGGCCAAGGCGGGTGGATCACGAGGTCAAGAGATCGAGACCATCCTCATCAACATTGTGAAACCCCGTCTCTACTAAAAACACAAAAAAATTAGCTGGGCATGGTGGCACGTGCCTGTAATCCCAGCTACTCAGGAAGCTGAGGCAGGAGAATTGCCTGAACCCAGGAGGCGGAGGTTGCGGTGAGCCGAGATGGCGCCATTGCACTCCAGCCTGGGTAACAAGAGCGAAACTCCGTCTCAAAAAAAAAAAAAAAAAAAAACTTACCTAATACTCTAAATTTAGCTGAAATGAACAACCAATATAAATCAGACTATGTAACTATTTCTTGTGGTAGTAAATGAAACAGCTTACCTTCTCAATATTTATCTGGTGCTTTCTTAACCTCTCCAGGTCTGTTGGGATTACTATCTTAATGAATTTCTGAATAGCTGGTTCTAGACGGCGTAATTTCACTTTTTCTTCATCTTCAGACATCCTAAAAAAATGTTGTATGACTTCGCTGGTAATAGCTGTCTTCTCCACTCATATAGAAAAACCTAAAAGAAAAATATTTCTTTAAGAATGTTTAGCTATCAGTTTCTATTATTTTTAAAAGCCAACAATTAGTTTTACAATTTATTCTAAATATGTATCAACTTAATGCTGAGCTTGAGTGGTTCTTTATAAAACCACTGATTCTTAAATCTTTTTCCCTTTACAAAAATTATGTATATTTTAGAATGTTCAGAACAATATAAATAAATGAGGAATAAAATAAAGTCAACAGTCATCTCCTCACCTTTTACAAAGAGTACAAAATGAACTCTCTACATTTTGGCATATGTCTCTCCAGGACTTTTTCTATGTAAGTATGTATGTATATAAATACTTAAAAAAAATAGGAGTACTGTCCAAGTTTTAATTTTCTGATCGATCTTGGACATTGAATAACTTTTTTTAAAAAAGTTGTCAAATGGCTTAACATTGATGCTTGTATTAAACTTCATGTCTAATGTCATCATAATGTAACTTTGTAATTACACAATTTCAAATATAACATGATATGCAACGCTTCTCATTGATTTAAATTGCCTCTTCCATTTTCAATAAAGTGATTAGTACTGCCTACAACTGAGTCAAATAACCAGTGACAGAGCTGGAATAAGAACCCATGTTTTCTGAAATTACATTGAAATACTTTTTCCACTTCACCTATAGTTTTCTACTAGCATTCCAGAAAGTCCAAGGGTATGCATTTGGGGCCAGAGTACAAGAGTAGGGGCTGGAGGAGAGCAGGTTTCAGGATCCCACCCCCTAATTCAACTGCAGAAACTTTACTTACTACTATTTTATGAATTGGAGCTTGTCAGAGCTTATATAAATAATGGGCTTCACAGCTTAACCAAGCTTGAAAGCCACCATTGTACACCATGCTTTCATGCCATTTCATTAGGTACAGCTTCTCCCATGTTTTAAAAAATTTTGAGCATGTTAATACTGCTGAGTTATGCTGTCTTAGTCCAGGGTCCATAGAGCTAGGAATTCACATACAGACTTTGTGGAGTCCCTGACTCTTTATAAAAAATTGTGAATGAAGGGGCTGGGTACAGTGGCTCACATCTGTAATTCCAGCTACTCGGGAGGCCAAGGCGGGAGGACTGCTTGAGCCCAGCAGTTCAAGACCAGCCTGGGCAACATGCCAAAATCTCATCTCTACCAAAAGGGGGAAAAAAAAGTTAATGTAGTTTATTTTGGAGAATAGAGTCCATTGTTTCAAGAGATTCTCAGAGATCTATCATCCCCAAAACATTAAATATTTATCCCCTTTCTTTTACAGCTGAAAATCTTGACATGTTGGTTATAAAGACTGCCTCCAATGCCTATCCATTAGTAACTTGGTTTTATGTTTGATACAAGCTCCAAAGTAAAAAAGGAAAATCTCCAGGTACAAAAACAAAGAGGGTAAAACAAGTGCAACAGTGAATGGGAACTGGAGACATATGGAGAAATTCATTACCAAAAGAGACCATCCACAGACCCAACAAACAGGAAAATTCACAGCTAATGGACTAAAGATAATAATTTTAAAAAGAAATTAAAGTAAGTATATTTTTAAATATCCAAAGACATAAAGGAAAGAATGGAATCCTTAAAAAATATATATTATGAAACAATAAGAGGCCAATCTGAATATAAACCAAGTAAAACTTCTAGAAATGAAAATCTCCAAAGATGTGTTAAACAGTAAACTATATAGCTAAGAGACAATTACTGGTTGGAAGAAATCACTCAGAACACAGAGGAATAAAAAGATGGAAAGTATAAAAAAGAAGATAAAAGATATAAAGGATAAAATGAGAAGCTCAATAACAAGTACTAGTACCAGAAAGAAAGAACAAAGAAAATGATAAACAGGAATTATTCAAAGAGAATATACTGAGAATAAAAATGTAAGACCTCAAACTGAAAAAGCACATCAGCCTCAAGTAGCATAAATTAAAAAAAAATTTTGCCTAAATATATGGAAGGAAATTACAAAACATTAAAGAAAAAGAATCAGAAAAAACAAATGAGAGATAAAAGATGTAAAGCAATAATATCTTGCTTTTAACAGCAAGATATTAAAAGACAGAAATACCTTCAAAGTGCTGAGAGTTAGTATATACCCAGGTAAATTATCATTAAGAATGAAAGCAAAATAATCATTTTCAGACATACAAAGACTAAGAGAGTTTATTACCAAGCCCCTCATTAAAAGAACTACTAAAAGGAATATTTTAACAATAAAGAAAATAAACCCAAAAGAGTAGAATAGCAAGAAGCAATGAACAGAATAAACTGTTACCGGATAGAATAAATGGGTGGATGAAACAACAAAGAAAATAAAACATTTATTTTGAATAGTGTGATGAAGTATAATAAAAATGTTTCCTTGTAAATAATTTTCTATAATTACGTAGATGCTTCATAATTTTACAAATTGGCTACTGTTGGCCATTAGGTTGTTTCCAATTGTCCACTATTACAAACTACAGTGTAATTACCCTGCTTATACATAAATCCATATTGTCACCTATAATTATTTCCTTAAAACAATCAACAAAGACACAACCTGTTTAAAGGGAGAAAATATTTGCAAACTAATCATCCAACAAGGGACTAATACCTAGAATGTATAAGAAACTGAAGCAATTCAACAGCAAAGAAACAAATCGTTTCATTAAAAAATTGGCAAAGAAGCTGAATAGACATTTCACAAAAGAAGACATACAAATGACCTAAAAGTATTTTTTTAAATGCTCAACATCATTAATCACCAAGGAAATGCAAATCAAACCACAATGAGATAACATCTCACCCCAGTTAGCATGGCTATCACCAAAAGGATAAAAAAATAACAAATGTTAGTGAGGGTGAGGATGTAGAAAAAAAGGACTCTTTTTTTTTTTGGATACAGAGTTTTGATCTTGTTGCCCAGGATGGAGTGCTGTGGCATGATCGGGGCTCACTGCAACCTCTGCCTCCCAGGTTCAAGCAATTCTCCTGCTTCAGCCTCCAGAGTAGCTGGGATTACAGGTGTGTGCCACCATGCCCAGCGAATTTTTGTATTTTTAGTAGAGACACAGTTTCACCAAGTTGGCCAAGCTGGTCTTGAACTTCTGACCTCAGGTGATCTGCCCGCCTTGGCCTCCGAAAGTGCTGGGATTACAGGCGTGAGCCATGGCGCCTGGTGAGAAACAGGGCTCTTACACATTGTTGGTAGGAATGTAAATTAGTACAACCATTATGAAAAACAGTATGAGCAGGGTACCGTGGCTCACAGCTGTAATTCCAGCACTTTAGGAGGCTGAGGCAGGTGGATCACTTGAGGCCAGGAATTTGAGGGTAGCCTGGGCAACAAGCAAGACCCTGCCTCTCTGAAAAAATTAAAAACTAGCTGGGTGTGGTGATGTGTGCCTATAGTTCCAGCTACTTGTTAGGCTGAGGTGGGAAGATCCCTTGAGCCCCAAAGTGTGAGACTGCAGGAAGCAGCGTTCTTACTACGATACTACAGCCTAGACAACAGAGTGAGATCCTGTCTCAAAAAAAAAAAAAAAAAAAAAGAAAGAAAAACTGTACAGAAGCTTCTCAAAAAATTAAAAATAGAACTACTATAAGATCCAGCAATACCACTACTGGTTATTTATCCAAAGGAAAGAAAATCAGTATACTAAGGAAATACCTGAAGGTCCATGTTTACTGCAGCACTATTCACAATACCCAAGATATGGAATCAACCTAAGTGTCTGTCAATGAATGTATGGAAAAAGAAAATGTGGTATGTATACACAATGAAATACTGTTCAGCCATTAAAAAAAAGAAGGAAATCCTGCTATTTATAGGCAACATGGATGGAACACCTAGCCTGTACTCCCAGCTAGTAGGAAGATCACTTAAGCCCAGGAGTTAGAAGCCAGCCTGAGCAACATAGTGAGATCCCCATTTCTAAAGAAAAAAAAAAAAGTTGATCTCCTGGAGGTAGAGAGTAGAATGATTGAAAGGGCAGGAGGGATGAAGAGAAATTGGTTAATGGGCACAAACATACAGTTAGATAGAAGGAATACATTTCTCATGTTTGATAACACAGTGGGGTGACTATAGTTAACAATAATTTATTGCATATTTCAAAATAGTTACAAGAGAAGATCTGAAGTGCTCCTAACACAAAGAAATAATAAATGTTTGAGGTGATACATATCCCAAATGCCCTGATTTGATCATTATACTTTGTATGCATGTATCAAAATATCACATGAATCCTATAAATATGTAAAATTCTTGTGTAGTAATTGAAAGAAGTAACATAAAAATAAAAAATAAATATCTGGATATAGAATTACTAAGCAGATTTTTCAAGGTTTTTTAATATACATATTTCCATATCCCACAAAATGTTATGCCTATTATGCTCCTACCAGAAACGTAACACAATATCTATTTATCCATATTCCAACCAATGTACTTAGTATTATCATTCTTAGACATGTCATTGGTAAAAAAAACGATGTCTCATTATTGTTTTAGTTTGTATTCCTTAAATTACTAATGGTGTGGATTTATCACCCATTTGCATTTCTTTTTTTAATTTTTAATTTTTGTGGGTATATAATAGTAGGTACATATATTTATGGGATATGAGTTATTTTGATACAAGCATACAATTTGTAATAATCACATTAAAGTAAATGAGGTATCCATCACCTCAAGCATTTATTCTTGTGTTACAATCTAATTATACTTTTAGTTATTTTTAAATACACCACTGAATTATTATAGTCACCCTGTTCTGCTATCAAGTACTAGATTTTATTCATTCTTTCTCACTATTTTTTTGTACCCATTTCATTTCTTCCTTCATGAATTGCCTGCTCATGTCATCACATCTGTTTGACTACAGGGGATGTCTTTCTCTTATTGACTCATAAAAGACTATTACATGTTGAATATATCAATTATTTGTCGAACATTAACAATTCCCTATCTATCATACTGCCTCTTTTGTTTTCTTCTATACTGCAGAGAGATATCTTTATATCTACATCATTCCTATCAAAATGTTTTTTGAACATACCTGTTGTTCAATAGATGCTGCATGAACTAAAATATTTCTTCACATGTCCCTTCTTCACCATTTCTAATTCTATTACTCTAGTCAAATAGCATAATATGCATAGCACATAACAATGGAACTTAGTCTGCCTTTGGACTCTTTCCCTCCAAAATGGAATATAAATTATAAAAACAAACTGTATTATAAATGAATAGCATAACCACGCTGAAAGAAGTGCAGAAAAATAATCTAGGCCACTTTAGAAAACAATATTTTAACTGAATACTATAAGGCTAGAGTCAAAAAGAACCACACTATACTCTATTTAGTAAATGTGTTTCTCACAGGAATGTAGGTCAGAAATCCTAAAATTACTTTATGTGCATACTAGGACTGAAGAAATAAAAAAATATTTTGTAGAATGCAAGAGCCAGATTTCTCACTGTCAGATAAAGAAGTTAAAAATAAGGGACAAAACTAGAATGAACCCTGTGGTGTTAGACTAGAAGCAAAGCTACTAGGATGAACTTGTTTTGAAAAATACATGGGGCCAGGCGCAGTGGCTCACAGCTGTAATCCCAGCACTTTGGGAGGCCAAGGCTGGCAGATCATGAGGTCAGGAGATGGAGATCATCCTGGTCAACACGGTGAAATCCCGTCTCTACTAAAAATACAAAAATTATCTGGGTGTAGTGGCGTGCACCTGTAGTCCCAGCTACTCAGGGAGGCTGAGGCAGGAAAATTGCTTGAATCCAGGAGGCAGAGGTTGCAGTGAGCTGAGATCGCACAACTGCACTCAATATGGGCAACAGAGCAAGACTCTGTCTCAAAAAAAAAAAAAAAAAAAAAGCTATATCTATATATATGGATAGATAAATATAGATCTTTGTGTATGCATGGGTTTGCATATGTATAGACTGGTGTCTTCTGTGGGGCCCCGGAAGCAATGTTACCCTAGTAGCAGTGAGCATCCCTAGAGCACAGATCTTTGTGTTTAAATACTATTCTCCAAAAAAAGAAACTACAGGTCCTCGGAGAAGTGGCTGATACCAGGGCTGAGGCAGGGAAAACACAAGATGAGCCTGGGCCATCATCATATGATACAAGAAAATTAGGAAGTTCCAAAAAAGAAAAAAGGATGGAAATATGATGAAAAGCTACAGAAAGCAACCTGAAAAAAAAAACTCCCAATGATCAAAGCTGGAACAATTTCATACATAAAATAACACAAGCGTGAACCGGGCGCAGTGGCTCAAACCTGTAATCCCAGCACTTTGGGAGGCCAAGGCGGGTGGATCACGAGGTCAAGAGATCAAGACCATCCTGGTCAACATGGTGAAACCCCGTCTCTACTAAAAATACAAAAAAATTTAGCTGGGCATGGTGGCGCGTGCCTGTAATCCCAACTACTCAGGATGCTGAGGCAGGAGAATTGCCTGAACCCAGGAGGCGGAGGCTGCGGTGAGCCAAAATCGCGCCATTGCACTCCAGCCTGGGTAACAAGAGCGAAACTCCATCTCAAAATAAATAAATAAATAACACAAGCGTAAGATAACAAGAGAAAAATATCTGAGTCCACATCTATACAGATTAATAACAGAATACAAATAAACAAATGGGAGAAACTGGGCAGCTCATCCTTACAGATTAATTTCAATGAATAATGAGGAAAGTAGGAAATCCTCATGACAACACCATAGTCATAAAGTTGAAGGCAAGATCCACCAATGGATGCGAAATTTAGCAAGGGAAAGTCTGAGAAGTAACAGGATATGTGTACAGTTTAAAAGCTTTTCCTAAGATGTCAATTAATTATAAGGAGAAAAATAAGACCTTTACATTGGAGAATCCCAGCAGACACCCTCTTACCAAGTGATCGAGATCAACCTCACAAGCAATAAGTCATATATATCAGCTATGCTCATATGATGGACTGAGAAGGGCACATACGCTTTTATGTTCTTAACAAAAATGTACAACCTTAATCTAATCATGAGAGAACATTGGACAAACCCCATTTGAGGGATACTCTACAAAATAATTGACCAGCACTCTTCAAAACTGTAAAGATCAGAAAGAGTATAAAGACAGAAAAAGACTATCACTGTAAAGACAGGAAAAGACTGAGAACTGCCACAGCCTGGAGGAGCCCAAGGACCCAAGACAACTAACTGCAATGTCGGGTCTTATGAGTAGATCCTGGAATAGAAAAAAGACATTACATACAGGGGGATTAAAAGAAATCAGAAGAAGGTCAGGAGTTCAGTTAATAGTATTATACTAACATCAATTTCTTGCTTTTAATAATTGCACTATGGTATGAACACCTTCCATCGGCCCAGAGGTCCCACTTTTCGGGTGGCCCAGAGGTCCCACTTTTCGGGATACTGGTGGCGCCCAATTTCTTCCGGCCCGCCGCTTTGTGTTTCTGACTTATGGAAAAGGTACTGAATTTGAAGAGAAAGTCAACGCCCTTAATCGCACTGTAAGGTCTCCTCTCTGAACCTCGGATAGTTAAAAGGTGGAAGCCAGCTGTGGAACCTTCTGCGAACCACTTCTGGGTCTGGCGGGCTGGGGGCTCCGGCCTCCGGCTCCCTGTCCCCCACTCACTACCCTCGAGCGTCGCTTCATTCCTCGCAGTGTCACCCACGGGACACCTGGGCCACACACAACAAACGCGCCCACCAGCGAACAGATGCGCGGATCCACCCGAGACCCAGACGCCGGCGACCCTGCAGACCCGAGGCCCACTGCGCGCCAGAAACAGGACGCGCCCGGGAAACTTTTCCATCCGGCGACCCCGGGAGGCCGTCCCGCTCGCACAGTCTGAGGCCTCCCCATACCAGCTTCTAATAAGGCTTCCAAAAACGAAACCGAGAGAGGCTCCGCCACTTCTGAAAGACAAGAGGAGCCACCATGGCACTCGCACTTCTGATCCAATACCCACTTCCCGCCCAGCGCCTCTTGCGCGCGCCACAAGGGCGCCCAGCCCACCAAGCCGGTCTCGGGCCCCAGAGGAGGCCTCCAGAGAGCCCCTTACCTCCCGCCAGGGCGCTTGAGGCCGGTAGGTGCCCACGGCGCAGGCGCAGGAGCGACGGGGCGGGGCGTCGCGAGGGGTGGGTTGGGATGTACCCCCCCACTCCGCCCCGCCTCACCCCGCGAGGCCGCCGGGCGGGGTGCGCGGGTCAAACAGGTGAGTACAAAGGCGGACGTCGCTCTGAACAGCGAAAGTCTTTTTCAAAATGATTTACATTATGGGATTGTGACTCGAAGAAAGAGGAGAGAGACGGACAAACGCCGTTTAGGTCTGCTTGTGTTTAAGACAATTCACGCTTGTATATCCGACTGCATTTTGCAGTTTTCCTGTCCGTTTTCCTCTGTTCTTCCTAGAATTTTATTTGCAGGTTGGGCATGTGTTCTTAGCTCTGTTTTGAAACTGAAGCTCAGAAAGGTTGTGCCTCCCCATCCTGCTCCTAAAAGCCCTGTGAAGTGGACAGGGCAGGAGTGTCACCTTAATTGCAACAGGTGCAGAAATTAAAGCTCAGACAAATTGTGGTTTCCTCCAAAAACTGGTGGAGGGCTTAAGGCAAACGTCTTTATCCCGCTTTTATAGATTATGACTCTGGGGTTTAACAAAGAGTTTTAAGTGACTCACTCCAGTTCAACCAGCTTATGACAGAGCTGGAACTCCAACTGGGTGTCCTAATTTCCTTCCCAAGTTATTCCAGTTAGACCAGCTGCTACCACATGAAGAAGCAGGTGGCTGGCTTTGAAGCCTTGTCCAAGTCACAGGTTCTCCTCTCTTCATGGCCTAACATGCAGATCCAGCCCTTTTAAAAATATATCTGTGAATATTCAGATAACCTGCTTAGAAAGTATTCACTAATTTTATTGTCTCAGAAGTGATCGGGATATTCAAACCACAGTTAAGGAAACACAGTTCTTAGGGTCTTTCAGTAGAGTAGGAGGTAGAAATTGTAGAACAGGGAAGATTAGGGGCCTGTAGATCAGCCTTGAAAGACAATTTCTAAAATAAAGCACCAAATCTACCAAGCAATCTGGATTTTCTTTAGGGGTATAATGTATGCTGATGTTTGAGCTCCAGAATGTATTTATCAAATTTTGATTCTAAGGAGAAATATTAAAGTGTTAGGCAATACCATGAGAAAATGTTTTTCACGCAAGGATTAGTTAAATAAGATCTTTTGAGGTAAAGATCATTTGTGTTAAGTTCTGAGCAAGCTACCTCAGGTCCAAAATCAGGTGTGGTACTCAAAGATTCTAAATTTGGATCTGGGCTTCTAGGTAGTTATATGTATGTTTGCTATAAATTAGGTGTGTCAATGTAGTTGGATAAAACTTTTTAATCTAACAGTTGGTTAGCTTGATTTATAATCTTTAAATATTCAAACATATGGTGTGTGAACCTCTTCTTGTACTCTGGGTTATCAAGTTGTTAGGCACAGGCTTGCTACTACCGGCCAACATTTTCCTGAAGTTCTAACTGAACCAGCAAGACCAAACAAAATAAAACATTAAGTATGTATGTTGGAAAGAAAATTAAAAAAAAATTCTTTTAGGGTATTATGATTGATTGCTTTCTTTGAAAATCCATGAAACAAATTGAAATTAATTCAATAAGGTGGCTAGAAAATACCTCTCCTAAACAACAATCATCAATTTTAAAATGTAGCGGGAAGAAGACTAGGTGTGATGGCTCATACCTGTAATCCCAGCACTTTGGGAGGCCAATGAGGGAGAATTGCTTGAGGCTAGAAATTCAAGACCAACCTGGCCAACACAGTGAGACCCCATTTCTTAAAAAAAAAATTAAAGGTAGCTGGGTATGGTGGCATGTGCCTATAGTCCCAGCTACTCAGGAGGCTGAGGCAGGAGGATCACTTGAGCCCAGGCATTTGAGGCTGCAATGAGCTATGATCCCACCACTGCACTCCAGCCTGGACAAAAGACTGACACCCTGTCTCTAAAAACAACAGCAACAACAATTTATAAAAATTAAAATGTAGTGGGAGAAAGATTACTTTCAAAAATAACAAATATCAAGTTTGTGTTTATAAGGAATTATGAGACCTATTTGAAAAATTGAGAATAATAGCTAGATGAGGGATAGGGGTGGAAGGAAGGATCACAAAGGGGCATGAGGAAACTTCAGGAGTTATAGAAATGTTCATTATCTTGATTGTGGTAGTAGTTGTATGGATGTGTATACATATGTCTAAAGTTACCAAATTGTATACTGTAAATATGTGTTTGTATAAGTGCTTACTATAGGGAAGAGGGAAGAAGTAGCTTTTTATTTGATTGTATGTGATGTGTAAAGCACTTGGTTAGGCACTTTACATGCAATATGTTATTTAATACTAATGGCACCCCACAAAGACATTACAATCACCCCTATTGTACAAACTAGGAAATTGAGGCTTAGAGAGTAACTTGACCAAGGTCCAAGTCTCATATACTGCATAACAGGAGTAAGACTCAAATCTTACCTAACAACAATATTTATACTTTAACTTGATTTCCATATTTCCATAAAGGATACAAATAAAGACTTGAGTATATAAAAAAATACTCAATATTGTAAAGTTGTTCATTTCCACCAAACTAATTTAAAAATTTATCAAAATCCCATTATGATTTTCTTTCTTCCTCCCCTCCCCTCCCCTTCCCTTCTTCTTTCTTTCTTTCATTCATTTATTTTTGAGACAGGGACCTGCTTTGTCACTCAGACTAGAGTGCTGTGGGGGTGATCATGGTTCACTGCAGCCTTGACCTGCCCCCTCCTCAGCCTCCCAAGTACCTGGAACCACAGGTGTATGCCACTACACTGGGCTGATTTTTAAATTTTTTTCTTCTAGAAATTGGGACTCCCTGTGTTGCCCAGTCTAATCCGCAATTCCCGAGCTCAAGCAATTCTACCGCAGCCTCCCAAAGTGCTAAGATTATAGGCGTGTGCCACCACACCAGGCCCTCTTTATGATTTCTATAATAAAACATTTTTTAAAATCCAAATTGATTTTGCAACTATTACTCTTTCTTCTTAGAATGCCATTTTTTGCTTGCTTTTCCCCATCCCTTTCCCTCACCCCAAAGTAAAGAAATAACTATTTTGTTGGACTCAAAAGTCATCTTATCTAGGAAGCTTCCCCCACTGATATGGTTTGCCTCTGTGTCCGCATCCAAATCTCATTATAAATTATACTCCCATAATTCCTGCATGTTGTGGGGGGGGACCTGATGGGAGATAATTTGAATCATGGGAGATAATTTGATTGATAGGGCACTTTCCCCCATCGTAATCTCATGGTAGTGAATAAGTCTCATGAAATTTGATGGTTGTATCCACTTTTGCATCTTCCTCATTTTCTCTTGCCTCTGCCATGCCAGAAATGCTGTTCACCTCCCACCATGATTCTGAGGCCTCCCCAGCCATGTGGAACTATAAGTCCAATTAAACCTCTTCTTCCCAGTCTCAGGTATGTCCTTATTGGCAGCATGAAAATGGACTAATGCAGTAAATTGGTACCAGTAGAGTGGGGTGTTGCTGAAAAGATACCCAAAGATGTGGAAGTGGCTTTGGAACTGGGTATCAGGCAGAGGCTGGAACAGTTTGGAGGGCTCAGAAGAAGACAGGAAAATGTGAGAAAGTTGGGAGCCTCCTATAGACTTGACTTGACCTTTGTCTCTTTTTGTAGTGTTTGTTTTGAAATCTTTTGTCTAATAAACATATAGCTGTTCCTGCTTGTAATACCAGCACTTTGGGAGGCTGAGGCGGGTGGATCACTTGAGGTCAGAAGTTGAAGACCAGTCTGGCCAACGTGGTTAAACCCTGTCTCTACTGAAAATACAAAAATTAGCCAGACACAGTGGCACATGCCTATAATCCCAGCTATTGAGGAGGCTAAGTGGGAGAATTGCTTGAACCCAGTGGGGCAGAGGTTGCAGTAAACAGATCATGCCACTGCACTATAGCCTAGGCAACAGAGCAAGACTCCGTCTCAAAAAAAATAGATAGATAGATAGGTATATAGATATATATATATGGCTGCTCCTGCTCTGTTTGTTGTTGTTGTTGTTGCTTGTTTGTTTGTTTCAATTGACATGGACTATTTTTTCCATATCTTTATTTTCAGTCCCTGTGTCTTTACAGATAAAGTGTGTTTTTTTGTAGACAACAGATCATTGGATCTTTTTTAATTAGTTCAATTAGTCTATGTCTTTTTTATTTAGTCCATTTATATCAAATGTTACTATCGATAAATAAGGACATACTTCTGCCATTTTATAATTTGTTTCCTGGTTGTTTTATGGTCTTCCCTCCCTGCCTGCCTGCTCTGCGTGCTTTCTTCCCTTCCCTTGTTCCCTCGCTCCCTCTCTCCCTCTCTTCCTTCCTTCCTGCCTTCCTTCCTTCCTTTTTGTAAAGATTATTTTCTCTGGTGGTATGTTTTAATTTCATGCTTTTTACTTTTTGTGTATCTGCTGTAGGTTTTTAAATTTGAAGTTCTCATGAGGCTTAGACATAACAACTTATAACCCATTATTTTATTTATTTTTTTATTCTTTATTTTTTATTTTTTTATTGCATTTTAGGTTTTGGGGTACATGTGAAGAACATGCAAGATAGTTGCATAGGTACACACATGGCAGTGTGATTTGCTGCCTTCCTCCCCATCACCTATATCTGGCATTTCTCCCCATGCTCTCTCTCCCCAACTCCCCACCCCTGCTGTCCCTCCCCTATTCCCCTCAACAGACCCCAGTGTGTAGTGCTCCCCTCCCTGTGTCCATGTGTTCTCATGATAACCCATTATTTTAAACTGATGACAACACTGGTTGTAAAAATAATAAGCAAAGAGAAGTGTAATAAAAACTCTACACTTCGCTTTACACTTTAACTGCTTGCTTTTTAACTTTTTGTTGTTCCTATTTATATTTTATTATACTGTCTGTTGAAAAGTTGTTGTAATTATTATTTTTGATAGGTTCATATTTTAGTATTTCTGCTCAAGATATGAGTAACTTCCATACCACAATTACAGTGTTGTTTGGCTGGGGACAGTGGCTCATGCTTATAACCCCAGCACTTTGGGAGGCCAAGGCAGTCTTGGCCATGTTGAGCAGGCAGTCTCAACAGCTTGAGCCCAGGTGTTTGAGACTAGCCTGGACAATATGGCAAGACCCTGTCTCTACAAAAAATTTTTTAAATAAATAAGCCAGGCATGGTGGCATGGGCCTGTGGTCCCAGCCACTTAGAAGGCTGAGGTGGGAGGATCACCTGAGCTCAGGAGTTGAGGATGCAGTGAGCTATGTTATTAATAGTACCACTGTACTCCATGCTGGGTGGACAACAAAGCCAGACCCTGTCTTAAGAAAAAAAGTCTGTTTTTGTCTGTTTACTTATTATTACCAGTGAGTTTTTTACCTTCAGATCACTTCTTACTACTTGTTAACATCCTTTTCTTTCAGATTGAAGAACTCCCTTTAGCAGTTCTTGTAGGACAGGTTTGGTGTTGATGAAATCCTTCAGCTTTTGTTTGTCTGGGAAGGTCTCTATTTATTCTTCATGGCTGAAGGATATTTTTGCTGGATATACTATTCTAGGATAAAAGTTTTTTTCTTCAGCACTTTAAATATGTCATGCCACTCTGTCATGCCATATGCACTGCCATGTCAAACCTATAAGGTTTCCACTGAGAAGTCTGCTGCCAGACATATTGGAGCTCTTTTGTATGTTATTTGCTTCTTTTCTTTTACTGCTTTTAAGGTTCTTTCCTTCCTTCACCTTTGAGAGTTTGATTATTAAATGCCTTGAAGTAGTATTCTTTGGGTTAAATCTTCTTGGTGTTCTATAATCTTCTTGTGCTTAAATGCTGACAGCTTTCTCTAGGTTTGGAATGTTCTCTGTTATTATCTTTTTAAATAAATTTTCTACCCCAATCTCTCTCTATCTTCTCTTTAAAGGCAGTAACTCTTAGATTTGCCCTTTTGAGGCCATTTTCTAGATCTCGTAGGCATGCTTTCTTCTTTTTTATTCTTTTTTCTTTTGTCTCCTGTGACTGTATATTTTCAAGTAGCTTGTCTTCAGGCTCACTAATTCTTTCTTCTGCTTGATCAATTCTGTTGTTGAGAGACTCTGATTCCTTCTTCAGTATGTCAGTTGAATTTTTTAGCTCCAGAATTTCTGTTTGGTTTTTAAACATTATTTCAATCTCTTTGTTAAATTTATCTGATATGATTCTGAATTCCTTCTTTATATGTGTATGTTATCTTGAATTTTGTTGTACTTCCTCAAAACAGCTATTTTGAATTCTCTGTCTGAATGTTTACATAATTCTGTCACTCCAGGATTTGTCATTGGTGGCTTATTTATGTTGTTTAGTGAGGTCATGTTTTCCTTGATGGTCTCGATGCTTGTGGATATTCAGCAATGTCTGGGCATTGAAGAGTTAAGTGTTTATTGCAGTCTTTGCAGCCTGAGCTTGTTTGTACCTATCCTTCTTGGGAAGGATTTCTGAGTATTCAGAGGGAATTGAGTGTTGTGATCTAAGTCTCTGTTCACTGCAAGCATATCTGGATTAGGGGTTACTCTAGGCCCAGTAATGCTGTGATTCTTGGAGACTTGTAGATGTACTGCTTTGGTGGTCTTGGGTAAGATCCGAGAGAATTCTCTGGATTACCAGGCAGAGACTCTCGTTCTCTTCATAAATGGAGTCTCTCCATGATGAGCTGCCTGGATCTAGGGGAGGAGTGACACAAGCACCCCCATGACCACCACCACTGGGACTATGCTGGGTTATACCTGTAGTCTGCCCAGCGCTAGGTCTCGCCCAAGGCCTGCAGCAGCCACTGCCTGGCTCCTGCATGTGTTTCCTCAAGGTTCAAGGGCTCTTCAGTCAGCAGGTGGCAAATCCAGCCAGGCCTGTGTCCTTCCTGTCTGGACTGTAAGCTCCCCTCAGCCCAGGACAGGTCCACAAATGCTATCTGGGAGCCAGAGCCTGGCTCCTTAGTGCTTTATTCTACTGTGGCTGAGCTAGCACCTAAGCCACAAGATGAAGTCCTTTCCACTCTTACCTCTCCTTTCCTTAAGCAGAAGGAGTTTTTCCCTGTGGCCACCACTGCCCCAGGCCTATGGCAAGTACTGCCTGGTTTACACAAGTCCCAAGGGCTCTTCAGTCAGCTTGCAGTGAATACTATCAGGCCAGGGTCTCTCTTGAGGGCAGTGTGCTCCCCTCTGGCCCAGGGTTGATCTAAATGCCATCCAGGAGCCAAAGCCTGGAATCGGAGACCCCAGGAGCCTACTTGGTGCTTTACTCCACTGTGGCCAAGCTGGTACTCAAGTTGCAAGGCTTACTCTTTCCTCTCCTTTGTTAAACCAAAGGAGTCTCTCTTCATAGCCACTACAGCTGGGAAGGTGCTGGGTCACACCTGAAGCTAGCAGTCTCACCCAAGTCCTGTGAGAGTACTGCCTTGCTGCTGGTGGGGTTTATTCAAGGCCCAGGTGCTCTTTGGTCAGCAAGTGATGAATCCTGCCAGAACTGTGTCCTTCTCTTCAAGGCAGAGGGTCTCCTTCTGGCTCACGGTGTGTCTGGAAATGTTGTTCAGGAACTAGAACTGGTTTGGGGGCCTCAGGACTCTTCCTGGTACCCTGTTCTACTGTGGCTGAGATGGTATCCAAGTTGCAAGACAGAGTCTTCTTTACTCTTCCTTCTTCTCTCCTCAAGTGGAAGGAAGGAGTCTCTTTTGGAGCTGCAAGCTGTGCTTCCCAGGCTTGAGGGAGTTTTGACACAAGCACTCCCTTGGCCACCCCAGCTAAGGTCTCACTAGGTCACATGCACCCCAGGTCCACTGGCTCTGAGTCCAGCACAGTACCAGGACTCTCCCAGGAAATGCAGTCCTTGTTGCTTAGACTGCCTTTCAAGTTTACTTAGAGTACTAGAGCACTTTAGCCCATGGTTGTGTGGCTTGCTGGAACTCTGGTTCTGACTGTTGGGATGGGTGATCCCCCTCTGGCTAATGCTGGTCTAAATGGTGCTCTGTGAGCGTCAGCCGAATTCTTTCTTGCGTTGCTTTCCACTGTGACAGTACTGAGTTCCAGTGCAAAGTCTCACCATCACTGTGCTTTTCTTCCCCCAGGGATACACATTCTCTCTTCTCACCACATGGCTGCTGCTGGAGAATGAAGGAGGGGTGGTTTCAGCAATTCAAGACTGTCCTTCCTACCCTCTTCAGTGCCCGACCTTGATAAGTTGTTTAAACCAGGTACTGTGATCACTCACCTGATTTTTGGTTCTTATGAAGGGGCTTTCTTGTTTGGATAGTTTTTTAATTTGCTATTCCTGGCAGAGGGATGTTCACTGGAGGTGTCTATTCAGCCATCTGGCCCCACCTCCCTCCAATCTATCCCTCATTTTTCTTTAATTGCTTTAACTAGCTCAGATGAACTTCTACTATTTTTTTTTCTCTTGAACTTCTACTACTTTCACTAAGAGAATTCTAACTATTGTAGACACAAAAGTTGATGTTCCTACTATCTTATATCAGTTTAAACATATATGTAATGAATCCACTGACTTTAGTACTTAAACCTCACTGTCTGCTTTATTGTCCTCTGCCACCACACACACCATCATCAAACAGTCTGTTCATATATATATAGTAAGGTTAAAAGGCTTTATCTCAAACCCAAAGGAGTAAACACTGCAGATAATCAGGAATGCTAGGATTTTCCACTTATCTCTCATTCACTACATAGGAATTTCATGATCATTTTATATATGGAGTGACTTAAATGCCCAGAAATGTGCTTATAAATTTCATTCCCTTTTTTCCCCTCCCTCTTTTTGTTCTTTAGATTATCTAGTTTAGTTATTCTTACAACTTAGTGTGCCTAATAATTATTGTATAAAATAGTATTTATAAAGTCATGCTTAATGAACCTTATGGACAATTTAAAGAATTTTCAAGGATAATTTTGACTATGCAATTTTTGCTTTGTTCATTGACTTTAATTACTCTTATTTATGTCCCTTACCAACCTAACTCCTCCTCAAAAGCGGAACTTTATACTATGGTTACAATGAGAACACAGTAAACAAATAGCATTAAAATTACATTAAATGTTATTTTTACTTTAGCAGTTTTGGGTTTTGTAGTATTTTAGTTTTTTGCTTTAGCACCTTGGGTTTTGTAGTATCTTAGTTATTATTATGAATGTCAATATCACATGACAGATGTACAGACATGCAGGTTAATAGAAATTCCACATGGGCCCAACCTTGCTTCCTAACTTTATTTCCAATTACTCTCCATCACACATCTTTAGTTCTAACCAAATTGAAATTCTCAGTGTTTTTTAATCCCAATCCTTTCCCCACCCTCTGCCTCCCACCTGGGATATTCTCTACCAATTGCTCTTTCCTCTATGCATGTCCAAATCCTACTGATCTTTCCATGTTCATACCAAATGTGGCCTTTCCTAATATTTCTAGATTTAATGCCTTCTTCCTCCAAATGACTACCTTATAATGTGGATTTTCTGGGTTTTTTTATCCATTAGTCTACATTTTAGTACAGTAATTTGGTATGTGTCCTGTTGCCCCTCCCATGCTTTAAACCTTTCAGCTCTCTGTTTAAAGTAATGACAGTAATAATATAGTTGGTGATGATAGCATATGGATAAGTCAAATGAATGGCATAAATGCTCGAAGAGTTGGGAGGGAGGAATTGGGAGTAAGGTAACTGCACTACCTCTAGAGTGGCGTTGTGTTATTTGAAAGTAGACTTAGATCAGTTGTGAATGTATATTGGAAACTCTAAGGCAACTACTTAAAAAAAAATCAAAAGGAAGTGTAATTGATATGCGAAAGAAGAGAAAAAAGGGGGAACAAAAAGAAACAACAAGTGCAATGAGTAAAAACACTGGAAATATGTGGATATTAAACCAAATACATCAATAGCCACTTTAAGTGTGAATTGTCCAAATATATCTTTTTTTTTGTTGTTCAGTGTGATTGTCACACAATAAAAAACAAGACCCATATGTTGTCTACAAGAAACTCACTCTAAAAAGACACAAAAAGTTAAAAGTAATGGGATAGATGAAGAGATACCATGTTGTATTCATTTGCTAGGGCTTCCATAAGAAAGTTCTAGAAATTAGGTGGCTTAAACAAGGGAAATTTATGTTCTCTCAATCTGGAGGTTAGAAATCTGAGATCAGGCTGGGCTTAGTGGCTCAAGCCTATAATCCCAGCACTTTGGGAGGCTGAGGCGGGTGGATCACGAGGTCAACAGATCGAGACCATCCTGGTCAACATGGTCAAACCCCGTCTCTACTAAAAAAACAAAAAATTAGCTGGGCATGATGGTGCGTGCCTGTAATCCCAGCTACTCAGGAGGCTGAGGCAGGAGAATTGCCTGAACCCAGGAGGCGGAGGTTGTGGTGAGCCGAGATTGTGCCATTGCACTCCAGCCTGGGTAACAAGAGCAAAACTCTGTCTCAAAAAAAAAAAAAAAAAAGAAATCTGAGATTAAGGTGTTGGCAGAATTAATTTTTTCTGAGGATCATGAAGGAAGGAACTGTTCTTAGCCTCTTTCCTTGGCTTGTAGATGGCCATCTTCTCCCTCTTGAGAACATAGGCTTCCCTCTGTTCATGTCTGTGTCCAGATTTCCTCTTCATATAAGGACACTAATCATAGTGGAGTAGGGCCCATTCTTATTATCTTATTTTAATTTTATGCCTCTTTAAAGACCCTGTATCCAAATATACAAGTCACACTCTGAGGTATTAGGGATTAGAATTCCAACAATAAAAATTTGGGAGAGGGGACACAATTCAGCATAATATACGCTAACACTATTCAAAAGAAAGCTGGAGTAGCTCTATTAATTTCAGACAATGTAGACTTCAGAACAAGGAAAATTATCAAGGATGAAGAAGAACATGTTACCTAATGATAAATGATTCAATTCTCCAAGAAGACAAAACAATCCATAATGTGTACACACCTAACAACAGAGCATCAAAATACATGAGGCAAAAGCCAATACAAATGTAAGGAGAAATAGACAAGGCACCTCACAAATAGAGTTTGGGAGCAACAGTGCAAAAATTAAGTTCCTTAAACCTGTTATTTCTTCCAGGGGCAAGAGGATTGTTAAAGAACCAAGGAAGTATAACAGTAGGGCAAAATTATTCCTGAAATAACAAATATTTCAAGATTCCTGTTGGAGAAGCTGCTGGAGCTCTCTTTTACAAGATTGTAGACTCTATCCTCTGTCCTTTGACAGCTGACACTCTCACCAGTAAACCTTTTAATCCTCCAACTAGTGGAATACATTTAAGGAACTGTGATAATGCCCATGAAATCATCAAAATTCACAAAGAGCACCACCCTCTCTCTTCTTATCCCAGGAAGCCCAAATTCTATTGTCATAGCCCTGCGGGAACTTTTCCCCTTTTGTAGGCTTCAGTGGCTTTCAGGTGCTTTTTGAGTGATATTTACATTTCTAGCTATTAACTTTAATATTTCCTATATTAATGTATTTCCCAATACATTAACTTTAATATTTCCTTGGCAGATGAGTACTAAAGAGAGAAATGTTGCATGTTTCATGGAAATAAATTGATAGGTTCAGCAACTGTCATTTTGCTTAGATAAGTGAACACTTTAGAAGAGAAGTGTTTTGACCTGAGCAAATGGTTTTACATATGGAAAAAAATGTCCTGAATCCCAATACCTAAACATTAAAGAACATAATTGGTAAGTTTGAATCTTTCCAACATCTGGTAAGTGCTTTCTCCTTCATTCATTCATTCAGTCTGCACAACCAGCGTGTTAGCCACTGTGCTGAGTCCTGGTGATGGAAAGTTTAAAAAGATCCTGTTTCTGTCTTCCAGGGGTTCAGTCTTGGGGGAAAGACAGACATGTTGCTAAATATAATGTAATCAATAAGTGTTATATTCGCTGTCCCTACAAAAATGCTATAGAAAGACACACACAGCTGGCAACTTAAGAGTTTAGTCAGTACATGGGCATTATCACAGAAGGGAAAAAATAGCATTCTGAACAGAGAGAACATATGTACAAGGCACAGAAAAAAATGCAGCAGTGGTATATCCAGGTCCCTCTGAGTAGTGGGAACAGCAAGAGGAGACTCTTAAACCCAGCTTGATTTAGGATGAATAATTTAAGTGGCTTTTCTGCAGCTTTCTGCCTCATGGTTAGCACCTACAAGTGCTAAAGCATAAAAACAGAGAAGGCTGCTGGAGAACAGGATGAGTAACTACCTCAGATGTATTTATCAAAGTTCATATTGATCCTGTTTCTATTTGTTTCAGATCTTATCATGGCACTATTTGATTTTGAATCTTTGTTGTATTCTCTCCATCTAAGACACAGGCCATATAGACTCACAAATTCATAACACCTACACATTACTTATGAGGGCTTCTAAGGCCTTCCACCAATTTTTTTTTAATTTCAAAAGCATTTTAAGAGACAGGGTCTCACTGTATTGCCCAGGCTGGACTGCAGTGGCTATTCACAGGTACAATCATAGAAACAATGTGCCTGGTTTCACATTTAAATTTAAATCGTCAGCCTCGCTCCAGGTGCAGTGGCTCATGTCTATAATCCAAGCACTTTGCGAAGCTGAGGCAGGAGGATTGCTTGAGCCCAGAAGTTTGAGACCCACCTGGGCAACATGAGTCCCTATCTCTACAAAAAATTTTGAAAGTAATAATTAAAATAAAAAAACCTCCAGCCTCATAGGCTACTATTTTCTGAACTAGGTTCCTGTAATTCCTTAATATCCCATCCACTTTCTTGCCTCTATGCCTTTGCTCAAGCTACATCTCTCTTTGCAATGCCTTCTGCCTCCTTTCCACTGATCAGAACTTTATTCCTCCTTGAACACCTACCTCAAGTGTATTTTCTCTTCCAAAACCTTCCCTTATTCCCCCATCCTGGGCTCCCATAATACCTTGATTTAATTTTGCTCTATATTACAGTAATTCACATACCTGTCTTTCCAGCTAGAGCAGAAACTTTTCGAAGGCAGGGACTTTGTCATAATTATTTTGTGTTTTCAGCACCTACTACGTGACCAGGAATGTGGCACTTGATAAATATTTGTTTTAGATGACCTGTGCATCTCATTGTTTTTTTTGATCTCATTGGTGTCCTCTCCAGTTTCATAACTGAGTTTCTCCAGCTGAGCAAACCTTCTGAAGATCACTGAGGTTGAGATCAGAGGA